GACAGTCTCACCTGTCCCCCTCTCCTTCCCTTCACTCATGGGTACTCACGGGGCCCACACAGCTGTGGGGTCATGGATCATGTCCGAAGCTCGTGCTTCTGAGTCTGCTGCTCCACGGCACAGCCGGGTCTGTGTGAGCACCACAGCTAGAGCACTAGTATCACCCGGTGTTGGGGGGAGGGGAGGGAAGGGGAAGAGAATGACTCCAGGTAAAATGGGGGAAGGAATCAGTGAAGAGGTTCTTTTTGTTTGATTGTTTTGTTTTATTTGTTTTCTTGTTGTTTTTTGAAAAGGTTCTGATGGGAACTTTCTCATGGAAAAAAATGGAACTATAGATTACGAAGTAAATTTATCTCACATTTAGTAAAATTTATCTGAATGACTGTGTTAATTTTTTTTTAAGAATTAAGAGCTTTCTGGGAAAATTCTCTAACCCACTATACCTTTACCACATGCATGAATTTTGCAGCCAGATTGTACATTCGATTTTTAGTATAAAAATACTGTTTTACAAAGTGAGCGTTTGCACGCTTTGTTAGTTTTTCCGAGGAGCTTGCTTAATCTGTGAAGAGTTTATGGGAGTAGAAGTCGCCGCTCTGTTCAGTCATGACCTGTGTGGGTTTGTCTTTCAGTATTTGCTGCCTCTCATTGGGCAAAATCCTTCATTGTCTGTGGCTTTGTACAGCATTAGATCCTTTCCCCACGTTGCTCTCACTGCTTCTAGAAATTTAGCACACAAGAATTTAAGTTTCAGCTTGCATTTATGTAGATCTTGCTGTGTTTCAAAAAGTCATTGAGGTTAAAGCAGTAAGGGGTGATGTCTGAGTCCTGGTGTGATGAGTCTTGTTGATGTACAAAGAACCCAGATCACTCCTGAGGTAGCCGTGGGAAACCCTTTCTTGCCTGAGTGGTGGTTAATAGAAGGGGTTCATGGCATGACTGTTCGTGGCATTCAGTACTGAGTCAGTCTTGCCAGGAAAATATCTAGAAAGCAAACTGATGAGACAATTATAGGTGGTAAACACATAACAAAGAAGTGAGTTAGCTAAGATATGAGTTAAACAGAGACACATGGAAGGCAAATGCCTAAGTGCTATACTATCTCTCCAGCCAAATCTCATGGATCAGCCATGAGAGTTACAGCTATGGGCAGATGAACATTAATACTTAAAGCACAATGTTCATTTTTCTATCACAAGAAGACCAGATTCAGATACCCAAAATATTATGACCCCTTTTGATACTGTTAATTTAGGGGTCTTCATTGATTTGTCCACTCACTATAAATTTGTCCACTCATCAATTATTGATGGACACTGAAGTACAGGGGTGCAGTAGTGAGCAAGATGGTCAGGTAGAGCTAAGGAAACTCATATCTAGTTGGAGATGACAGTAAAGATCTAGATCTGTCCATGAGAATCTTGATAGTGGGATGTCAGGGACCACGTTGGGTGGAGGGAGAGACAAGTTCTCTTGAGTGGCAGCTGAGATCAGCAGGGGCATTTGGTGAATGTGTTGTGCTCTAGGCACTCCAAGGAGCCAGCACAAAAGTTGGGTTTATTCTCAGTTCAGTTGGAAGCCATGTAGGATAGTTAAGATATGTATACACACATGCACACACACACACACACACACACACACACACACAAACTCACCTTCATTATTTTATCAGTTGCCATTTAACTTTATCCTGATTTTTTTTTGTTAATAATGCTGTTAATAACACGCGGGGGCAGATACCTTTCTGAGTTAGTGTTTTCATTTTCTTTGGGTAAATACCCAGAAATAGAATTGTTAGATCAGATGGTAGTTCTATTTTTAGAGTTTCGAGAAGTGCACACACAGTTTTCCATAGTGACCACACCAGTTTTTATTCCTCTCCAGAGCAAACGGGATTCTCCTTTCCCTACATCTCATCAATGTTGGCTACTTCTTTTCTTCTTGATCACAGTCATTCTTTCTAATAGGAATGAGGTGTCACCTCATGGGGTTATTTTGGAGGGGAGGGGCCACACTCAGCTGTGCTCAAGGATCACTCCTGGAGGTGCTGGAGGTGCTCAGGGAATCAAGTGATTATTATTATCATTATTTTTATTATTATTATTATTATTTTGCTTTTTGGGTCACACCCAATGATGCACAAGGGTTACTCCTGGCTTTGCACTCAGGAATTTCTCCTGGCAGTGTTCAGAGGATCATGTGGGATGCTGGGAATCGAACCTGGGTCGGCTGCGTATAAGGCAAATGCCCTACCTGCTGTAATATCACTCCAGACTGATAATTCTTACTAATATTTCAAAAGTATGATTGGAATAAGATTTAATTAATCTCAGGGATGAAATTCAGGTAAGCCATATGGAAGACAAATGACCTAAGTGCTGTACTATCTGTCCAGCCAAAATCGCATAGTTTTGATTTGCATTTTCTCAATGATGAGTGATATCGAGCATCTTTCCATGTACTTGTTGTTTTCTTTTTTTTTTAAATCATCTCTTCAGAGCCTTTTCCTATCTTTTGCTTAGGTTTCTTCTTTGTTTTATTCATTGAATTTTATGAGTTCTTAATTTATGTTAATCCCTTACCAGATAAATAGAGAAAATATTTGCCTTTACTTTCTACTATTCAGCAGATTGCTTTTCTATTTTGTTCATGTTTCCTTTGCTACGCAGATACTTTTTTAGCTTGATTCATCCCACCTGTTATTTTTTTGCTTTTGTCTTTGCTTTTGACATTATATGGAAAAAAATTGCTGGCACGACTGATGTCAAAGAGTTTTAGGAGTTTTATGTTTTGGAGTTTCGTGAATCAGATCTCTAATTCATTTTGAGTTGGTTTTTATATGTGGTAGGATAAGAACGATTCCATTGTGGTTTTTTGACATAGGACTGTCCAGTTTGTCCAGGAACACGTTAGGAAGTAACTGACCCTTCCCCATTTCAAAGTCATGACTCTTTTCATCATAAATTAATTAAACATGTGTGTGCTGGCTTGTTTGGGGATTAACTTTTCTACTCCATTGATATATGTAAAGTTTTGGGTTACGTATCTTGGGTCACACATGGAGGGTGTTCAGAGTCACATCCCTGATCAAATTGTTTCTATTTTGCATTTCTCCTTCTAAATTGAGTCTGTATAGACTGATATGGTTGAACATTCTAAAATGAAACAGACTAGTTAAAAATCTGAGAGAAATCTGGCATCTGAGAGACTAGAAGTCTTGAGGATCAAATCCAGGTTAGCCTGCCAGCCCCTCAAGCCATGCTCCTGGTCCTCAGCACTATAAACTTGTAAATGGAGTCTGAGATCAGAATTGCACTTGCTTTTCTATAGGATAAAATGCCATCTCATGGCTTTGTTTAGGGGTTTGGGGTCATTAGTTTGGGGGCCACAGTCAGCTGTGCTCAGGGATCACTCCTAGAAGTTCATTTCAAAAGACGAGGTCCAAAAAATGTCTCAAGTTTTGGCATCTTCATTTGGAACAGCATTCCAAGGACAATTATCTGAATTGGACAATAATCATTTGACTGTGGTGTGTTTGTTTGTTTTTAAAACATAGTGTAAGTACTTGAGCTTAAGTAAGTTTCTTAAGAGGATACATTCAATAATAAGGGGGTAAGGTGCTTGCCTTGCACATAGACCAGGGTTTGATCCTTGCATCTTATATAGTCCCCTGAGCCCTGCTGGGAGTGATCCCTGAGCATAGATCCAGGAGTAAGCCCAGAGTTCCACAGAGTACGGGCCAAATCACTCCTATCCCCCAAGAAAAAGAGTGCATTAAAGTAAGTAAAGTAAGTAAAGGCCCTCCTGTTGATCATTGATTTGCTCGAGCGGACCCAGTAACGTCTCCATTGGAGACTTTGTTGTTACTGTGTTTGGCATATCGAATACGTCATGGGGAACTTGCCAGGCTCTGCCGTGCGGGCATTAAATTCATGTAATTTAAATTGGGAGGAGCAAAATTTTTCACTTAGATATTGCCTACTGTATTTTTTTCTTTATATCAGAAATAGATCATCTAAAGGAGACATTATTTTCCCCAATTTTACAAAAGTATGAGTAGACTAATATTTATAGACATCTCTGGTCTTTCCACATCCCTGATCAAATTGTTTCTATTTTGCATTTCTCCTTCTAAATTGAGTCTGTATAGACTGATATGGTTGAACTATCTAAAATGAAACAGACCAGTTAAAAAATTTTCAAGAAATATTTCTTTTAATTTCCAAATACTCAAGTTCAAAACTAGTTTTGAGTTTTAAACAGCAAAATTAATTTTCATATTTATGTTTCTAAGGGCTGTGCTCTGATCTAGCCTTTTTTTTTAAATACAAACTGATACTGAGAGATTCATTGCTTGATACATTATAATAAGAATCCAAAAGTATATATATCTGGGGGCCAGAGAAATAGTACAGTAGTTAAAGCATTTGCTTTGCACATGGCCAACCCAGGTCCCATCCCTGGCACCCCATATGGTCCCTTCAGCACCTCTAGAAGTAAATTCCTCCCCACAGAGTCAGGAGAAGTCCCCAGCACTACCGTGTATCCCAGACAACAAAAAATCAAAGCCATAAACAAAGTATTTGTCTGGAGGAATTGGAGTTTTTTAAAAAATGTCTATTGACATGATTTTCCCCTGCGGCTTTTTTCTCCTTTTTGGGTCACACCTGGTAATGCACAGCGGTTTATTCCTGGCTAATGCACTCAAGAATTACTCCTGGTGGTGCTCGGGGGACCATATGGGATGCTGGAAATCGAACCCGGGTGGGCCACGTGCAAGGCAAGCGCCCTATACCTGCCAGTGCTATCACTCCAGCCTCACCACTTTTTGTAAAACAAAACCAAACCCAAACACCATCGTTTTAAAATGCCATCTCATCTTTCTCTCCTATGACAAGCTGAAAAGTGAATGTCTGGGGAGCCCAACCAAGAGCGTTTGTGTGAGCCGTCCGACCCGTTTGCTCCGCGACCGTTTCATGGGTCTCTATTCTGTCCTGCAGAGAAATGGTCAATGCATGGTTCGCTGAGAGAATCCACACTATCCCCGTGTGCAAGGAGAGCGTCCGAGGCACCCCGGAAGCCTGCCCCTGCCCCTCCCAGCAGAGCCCACGAGCCGACGGCAGCGCCCCGGGAACCCCAACCAGGAAAATCTCCGCCTCGGAGTTCGACCGTCCACTCCGGCCCATCGTGGTCAAGGACTCGGAGGGCGCTGTGAGCTTCCTGCCCGACACAGAGAAGAAAGAACAGATGCCGCTCACCCCTCCCCGCTTCGACCACGACGAGGGGGACCAGTGTGCCAGGCTCCTGGAGTTGGTGAAGGATATTTCCAGCCACTTGGACGTCACCGCCTTGTGTCACAAAATCTTCTTGCACATCCACGGACTCATCTCTGCCGACCGCTACTCTCTGTTCCTGGTCTGCGAGGACAGCTCCAACGACAAGTTCCTCGTCAGCCGCCTCTTCGACGTGGCTGAGGGGACTACGCTGGAAGAAGCGTCCAACAACTGCATCCGCTTGGAATGGAACAAGGGCATCGTGGGGCACGTGGCCGCGCTAGGCGAGCCCCTAAACATCAAAGACGCCTATGAGGTGAGGAGGGAGACCCCAGGGCAGGGCCAAGGACAGTGCGTGGTGGGGGACCCAGATGCTGGGCTGGAATCGGGTGTCAGAGTTGGAACGGTGAGTGTGTGCTGGTGCTCACAGGTGTCTTCATGTAAACCTGAAAGGTGTGGGATGAACCCTCATCCCCTTTAAATGCACATTCCTTAGGATTGAGTCCACTCAAGATTTGGTTCTATGAGGAATCTTCTCGGTTTTCTTCTTTTCCGAATGATCATTTAACACGCTGCATCGCATAGTTGTATTCCCTCATCATTTTATGTCATCGCTTTTTTCACTCTGTAATTTTTTCCATGTGCACTTGTGAGAATTTTATGGATGATGGAGGATTGGGTCCCCCAGAGCCCCCAAACCAATCTCATCTTTCAGCATTCATTTTTCCCCCTTCGGTTTTATTTAATCAGCTATGAAAAACTTCAAAAGGTAGATGACCTTGTTCTCAAATATTCTAGTGGAAAGATTTGACATTTTTTCCACTTATGTTGTAGTTTTTTTTTTAACAGTGCTTGAATTTTTTTTAATTTAAAAAAATTGAGGTATCTATTATAGCACTGAATCATTTACCATTTTCCAAAGCCTAGTTTAAAGAGCATTTACTTGGGGCTGGAGCAATAACACATCGGGTAGGGCGTTTACCTTGCATGCAGCAGACCCGGGTTCAATTCCCAGCATCCCATATGGCCCCCTGAGCACCACCAGGTGTAATTCCTGAGCGCAGAGCCAGGAGTAACCCCTGTGCATCGCCAGGTGTGACCCAAAAAGCCAAAAAACAAAGGGCATTTACTTAACTTTGTTGTAGCTTTGTAATGGTCTTTAACTCTGGGCTTAAGCAATATGCTGTGGGATATTTCAGACACCCATTTGAAGTGATTCTTTAAACAGCATCATATTCAAGTGACACTTTGGACTTTATGAAGTATTTTTTTGCACCTCAAGAGATGGCTTGTTCTGTATGTGTGTGTGTGTGTGTGTGTGTGTGTGTGTGTGTGTGTGTGTTCTGTGTCTGTTCACGTGGTGCCTAGCGCCTCTGTGCCATAGTCCTGCCCCGCAGCTATGTGGGTTCATCTGAGGAGTTGACAGCAATTAACTCATCCCTTTTCCTCATGCCTGGCTCATAGTCAAGTCTTTATAAATATCTATCAAGTTAATAGTAGTGTGGTCAAGATATACAAGTAACAGTGAAAGTTAGGTACTAATAAATTTTGAAGGAAATGATGTAGATCGAGGGAAGCAGGAGATGACATTTATTTGGGGAGATGGAGAGGTTGTTTTGTTTTGTTTTTTACTTTTTGTTTAGTTTTGTTTTTGTCTTTTCAAGGAAGCAGGGCCTGGTGGGGACCCTGGGGAAGTGATGATTTGAGTAGGCTCCACCGTAAGATCTAGAGGCAGATACCTTGAAACTATAGGAAACTACAGAAACTATAGAAACTATAGTAGTTATTTCAGCAAACAGTTTAGAGAGGTCTGTTTCCATTTTATTTTGGAATCCCCGATTTGCAGCACACTAGACACATCTGCTTCTCTCCATAGGAGCTAAAGAAGTAACAGATAAGTCAGACCAAGTGGCCCTTGGTTGGAAATGTAGGGGTACCTGCTAGTGGGGGAGTTAGAGAGGGCAGAGCTAAGAAGTGATTGGGGCTTGCGCTTGCATGCCATGCTATAGAGAGTGAATGCACTTCAAGGCCACGAGGACAGAAGAAAGATGAGATGTGTTAGGGGGACAGACATGGATCAGATGGTACTTTGGAAAGATGATTTTTTCCCTTTTTTTGGGGGGGGGGTGGGCTCAGTTAGCATTGCTCAGGTCTTACACCTGGTAGGGTTTGGGGGATTTTTAAATGTTGTCTGGGCATCAGCACAAGGCCTGCCGCATGCTAGACAACCTCTAAGTCCCCTCCCACCTCTCCAAACCCGAAGGCATTTAATGACAGTTATAAAGTAAATTAGAAGGAAAGCTCCAATAAACTGAGAGAGGCTAGGAGATCATTTTCATGATATGAAAAAATAAGGACCTGGACCAGAGTTTTGGCCCTGGAGATCCGCAGGAGAGAGTGGCTGGCAGTGAAGAGGCAGAGTCTTGGAGAGTTGGCAGAGGATCGGGGTCCCAGTGAGCAGAGACCAGGACTCCCGTTTGGAAGTTGGGTGAATAATGGGAGTTGGTGCTGAGGACAAGGAGTGGCCCTTGGGGAGTGTCAGGGTCACTTGAGACACTGCTCTGAATCTTCTGGTAGTTTGTCCAGCGTCAGTACAGTGTGAAGCTCTGAGTGTGACTTGGAACATGCGACTCCACGCAGGAACTGAGGGCACTGCTGAAGCATTGCTCCCAGTCTGCAGAACTCCCTTCCCCGGTCTGGGGTGGCAGCTGGGTTTCTGCTTTTTGGTGACACCCTAGTCCCAACTACCAGCAGGGTCCTAACATGCTCTACCCTTGCTGAGTAAAGCCCTCAATAGTCTGTAGGGTCCTGGGAGGCCTCCCCAGGCCTGAGAACGTGTATGTGTGTGTGTGTGTGTGTGTGTGTGTGTGTGTGTGTGTGTGTGTGTGTGTGTGTGTCCCGCCCCCACCCCGAGTGCCTTGGTTTACCCTGCTTACCATCTTTTGCATTTGGGCAGTGGAATTTTTCTTGGGCTTTTACTGATGATTTAGAAGAAGCCGGTGACAGATTTGCAGCGTCTCCAAGCCTGGACATTCCTCTTGTGGCCGCTGTGTGCCCTTGGGCCCCTTCATCAGTTTCTAATGGCCACACACAAGTGATTCGTGGGCCAGGAATTTCATTAGCAGTCGTGGGCCAAGCTGTGGCGTGTAATTGGTGTTGGTATTAGCAGGAGAAGTCAGTCGGCTAATGGGTCATTTGGGACGCAGCCCTGTCCCTAATTTGAATCCCCTCAATACCATCTCACGGCCCTTTGAGAAGGTAGCCGGAAAGTGGGGACACTGACAGTGGCCCGAATGAGGTGAGGCCTCAGATGAGAGCCAAGACTGAAAAATAGACTCCCCAAGATTGCGTTGTGGTTAGGAATGGTGAACTTTGGATGTTTTTCACTTTTTTTTTTAATTGCTTACAAATAAAATTTTTATTTTTTTGAAGAATTTTTATGCTTTTGTTGTATAATAAATTTAGCCACAATTTTGCTTTTCAGTACATTTGTCTTGTCACTCTCCCTTTTTGGTGCAGAGTAAGAGTTAATGATGAGTATCCGTGGGGTTTGGAACTTTCTCATAACCTTTTTTTTTTTTAACAAAGTTGTTCATGATGGATTTTAGACATACAGTATTCTAACACCCATTTCTCCACCAGTGTATATTTCCCAGCACCAGTGTCCCCAAGTTCCCTTCCATCACCCCTCCTCCCCCATCCCATGCCTGCCTCTATGGCAGGCACTTTTCTTCTCTCTCCCTCTCCTTTTGGGCACCGTGGTTTGCAGTTGTACCTAGGATGGTGACCCATTCATATATTTGAAGTGTTAGACAAAAACTCCAACTTAGGGGATTCTCAATTAGACCCTAGATCCCAATGAAGGGGGTTGATGGTAACTGCTCTCAGTACATTGACATTCACTGACGCCTCTCCTGCTGTATCAGCCTGTTGTTCTAGTGACATCCTTGAGTGCCATGCAGCATTTTTAAAAAAAATTTTATTAATGAAACACCATGAGGTACAGTTGTAGACTTACAAATTTTTGTGCTTGGGTTTCAGATCGAATACCCATCCCTCTACCTTTGCCCATTCTCCACCACCACTGATCCCAGTATCCCTCCCACCCCCAGCCCCACATCCCACCCTACCTCAGTGGTAGGGCATTCCCTTTTGTTATCTCTCTCCTTTTGAGTGCTGTGGTTTGCAAAAGAGACATTGAGTGGCAATCACGTTTGGTCTATAGTCTATTCTCATCACTCATCTCCTGTCCTGGGAGGAACCTCCCAACACCCTTTATTTGGTGCTCCCTTCTCTATCTGAGCATGCAGCATTTCTTAAGAGTAATAAAGGTACTGTAGCAATACAACGGACAACAGCAATAAGATATTAACATGCTATGACCAGAGCATCTACAAAACGAGGGGTGGTCTTTTCCTGGTGTGTGAAAACTAGGTATCATTGAGTATCTGGACTCGATGAAGATATTTTTGAGAAAGAGAACCAACAACAGTGTTCATCCATGCAGAATGTGAGAGCTTCATGACAGACACTGGTTCATAGGTGCCAGGGCTGACAGCCTCCATGATCTACGTGCTGTCTGCCGGCGGGAGAGCAAGGAGAGCTGTGGGCATGTTCCGAGTCTTTTGGCTGGACAGTTGTGGGGCTGCAAGTGTAAGAGTCTGAATGCCTCAGGAACTAGACAGCCAAGAGCTCTGAAGGGAGGCGGGAGAAGATGTGCATCTCAGCTCCACAGAGATGGCCCCGGCCATCTACTACTCCACCTTGTAGTTCTGATCGGGCCCCTGCAGATGAGGGATGCCCCTGATCGGTGAAGCTCTTCTTTGCTGGCCTGAGTTCGGTGCCAGTTTTTTCTGGAGATGTCTCTGAGACATGCCTGGGACAGTGTCCTAGCAGCTGCCTGTCCCCTTACCCAGGCAGGGTTGGCACGTAAAATCAACGATTCCACCTTAAGCATCTCTAGGAACTTGTTTTTTTGTGCTGTGGGAGTCTTAATACCCCCCCACCCCCAAGATTTCCTGTCACAAGATGTATATTGTCCAAATGCTCCGCATCTTTCCAAGTCATAGGGATGCAGACATGGGACTCTGCTATCTTCTGTGGGCCAGGACACACCCCATCTCCCCACCATTTGCAAAACTTTCACAGGCTGGCCGCAGCCAGGCCCAAACTTCAGTCCTTGGCATCATAAGTCAGTGGCTCTGTGCTCACCCTGCCAAACCCAAGTGATGCTGAGAATGACCCCTATATAAATGAGAGAGAGAGAGAGAGAGAGAGAGAGAGAGAGAGAGAGAGAGAGAGAAGGGGAGGGAGGGAGGGAGAGGGCTGGGGTAGGAAAGAGGGAGTGAGAGGGGTTTCTGTTACCTCTACCTTTGAACTCTGAGCTCTAACTTCCTGGATACTTGGGTCCTGGACGGCAGGTGGTCACCATCCATGGGCAATCAGTCACCCTGGCCAAAATTCACTCAGTCCCATCAGTAGATTGTGGCTTCCATATTCGAGTGTTTCACCCCTCCTCAGAATCTTTGAGAACCAGCAGGAGGATCTAGATGGGATAGTGGTGTGAAATTTAAGAAAATACAAAGAAAAATTGATAGTACAACGGACATTTGAAGAAGTAATGGAAACAAAGATACTCCCCTTCTCCCGAGAAACAATTCTTTGAAACTTTTTCAACAGTGGATGTGGGGGTGCTTCTGATGCAGCAATATCAGGGCTCAGGCTGCCGGGGGCGGCGTGCAAGCATCCACTCCCACACCCACCGACCCACGTTTGGCCGTTCTAAGGCATTTTCTTAGGATGCCACTCCCGGGAGGAAGCCAACCTAGAATTTGGTGCATCTCTTGTGTGGTTTCCTCCTTGGGCTCATCGTCCATTATTTTTATATCGTTTCCAGTTCATGGAAAAGTTGCAAGGCCAATATAAGAAATGCCCAGGCACTCATTACCCACAGAGGGTGGAGAGGCCCTTGGAAATCGTGAGGGTGCAGCTGAACAGAGTAGAATGCTTCAGTGCCAGGCGCCTTTCAAATTTTTGGTAGGGAGGGTGCTGGGTGTCTTTAAAACCATTCCTCTAACCAGAGCCCCGACTCTGCTGTCAGCCTTCAAAGAATATGCTGCTCTCACCTGTCTGAGGTGTTAATGCCACTCAGCTGTTTCCCCTCCCCTACACTCATTCCAGTGCACCCAGCACTGCCTAACTCCTCAGGTATTTGCCTCACACCTTCCAGATCCCCAAGAGACATTGGGTTCCTGGCTGTCCCTCTGGAACTCTGCTCCCCTGGGGTACACCCTACCTGCTCCCCAGCAAGAATGTGCCGGGGGACGAACAGAAAGCCCCAGCACTGCAGCCATGGTCCCCTCTCCTGCAGGGCACCCCCGTCTGCTTTAGCGGGTTCGGGTATTGGGTCTCGTCTTCCACTTGTTCTCTGCAGAAGGGCAGAGCTGGTGGCACCAGGGCCTTTAGTTTATAAGTTATTCTACAGTATCCTGTTCATGTGAACAGTGAAAGGAATAATCCCAGTAATAGTAGTGGCACATATGTTTCCTTTGGTATTTCCTGGACCTAGAAGTTTCTCTGCCTGCTGACTTTGCCCTAAGTAAAGGAAAATCCTTTGAAACAAAATTCTCTTTGGGGGAATTTGAAGGGTACGCTGCAAGTAGTCCCCTCCTTCAGTGGAGAATAAAACCTAGGGCTGCTGCTGATTTTAAAGACGCCCAGCACCCTCCCCACCAAAAATTTCTGTGGGACTATTATAGAAATTTTCATGTCAAACTCTGTTGTTTTGAAGAGTTGGGTTTAATCCTCTTTAATAATTGGTATCGTGGTGGAAATTGGAAATAGTTGCCTAGAAAATAGTTGCTGAAGATGCAACTCTTGTTACCTTCGCTGAATGGATATTCTTTTTAAATTCATCAGCATCACTAGCCTGGTTTTCAAAAATACTTTATTTTTTATTTTTGGCTTTTGGGGTCACACTTGGCGATGCTCAGGGGTTATTCCAGGCTCTGCACTCAGGAGTTACTCCTGGTGGTGCTCGGGGGAGGGGGCGCTACATGGGATGCTGGGGATTGAACCCGGGTCAGCTGTGTCCAGGGCTAACGCCCTACCCGGTGTACATTGCTCTGGCCCATTACTAGCCTGCTTTCCTTGTATACTTAGCAGTGTAGCATTGTACACTGTGATTTATAGGGAAGGAATTCATAGGAGGAATATACATATATCCCTCCTGGGCCAAACCCACCCTTCCAACCCACAGCCTCCCAAGTCTTGGCATTTCCCACTGGTCTAAGTGACAAAGGTGCCGGCCAAGAATGACGTGACTTCTGGGGAAGCACCTCAGGTGAGAGCTGCTTGTCAGGGGAACTCATCCTGGGAGCCCAGAGGGTTGGAGTTTCCCATTGGACGCCCTGCTTCTAGACGGGATGGGGGGGGGGGGGGAAGCCTGAGGGTCACAGGGCTTCCCTGCCTTTCTCCCACCTCTCCCTCCACTCTGCACCTGTTTGTCTGTCCCAGAGTTGTTGGCCCAGTAAAGAATTGGTGCTCTAGTGCAAAGCTTCTCAAACTGTCCGTTGCGTCACCTGGGAGACTTTTCAAGTTTCTAATATCTTTGAACTGCCCCAGTGAGGTGGTTGAGGACCCGGCAATGAATGTTAGGTCAGAGCCATCAGGAGGGGTTTGCGGGGGTGACGGGACCCAAGCTTTAGGGTTTGTCCTTCAGCTCCGATGGACCCAGTGCACAGCCACTCTGAGAAGCTCAGGGCTGGTGAGCTCAGGGGGTGCCTGGGTGCCTGGGTGCTGGGTGTGCGCCCCGTGGATGAAAGGATCCCCAGGCTGGTGAGGCCTTCACGGCCAGAGTAGGGTGCCTGCGGAGGACCGGCTGCAGAGAACTCGCTCCCGGGAAACGGCCATCCCGAGTTCTGTCTCGGGAACAGTTTTGACCGTGTTTGCAGCAAGAACACCACACACGCACAAAAAAATGCAGTGGTGTTTATTTATAGTATAAAATATTTATACTGATTTCCCACTATTTTATAGCCTTTCTTTTGAAAGACCGCATTGCGTGCCAAGATGGGCCTCTCCGGGGGAAATTTGGCCTCATTTCTGACCCCAATTGATGGAATCCGGTGTAGTTATTTACTTCATTCACAGCTTTGGCTTTGCGTGACATTAGACTAATTAAAAAAACAAAAAATAGAAGTGACCTTTGAAGACGAGGATTTTCCAGGGTATGACGCTTCCACTCTCTAGAGGGAAGGCCAGAGGACAGCCCTGTGCACCATGGGTGCTATTATTAGGGGGTGCAGCTTCCCAAGACCGGGTCTGCCTTGGAGGGAGCAGCCCGCTCTCACGTGTTTTGTGTTCTGCTATGATTGTTGCCATGCTAATCTTAGCACCCTGGGGACTATGTGACATACTCTCCCCTGCTCTCCCCCTGCCCAACAGATTTCCCGAAAATTATAGTAAGCACTGGGCTGGAGCGATAGCACAGCGGGTAGGGCGTTCGCCTTACAAGCGGCCAAGATGGCCGACCCGAGTTCGATTCCTCCGCCCCTCTCGGAGAGCCCGGCAAGCTACCGAGAGTATTCGATATGCCACACACAGTAACAACAAAGTCTCCAATGGAGACGTTACTGGGCCCGCTCGAGCAAATCGACGATCAACGGGAGGGCCTTTACCTTTACCTTTACCATAGTAAGCACACACAGACCATGCTTAAAAACTGATATGGTGGGTGGCTGTCTTCGAAGGCACAAATGGCCGTGGGGACAGAGTAAGAGAAATTACCCTTTGCTCCTTTTCCCCACCGAGAAAAGGCCTCTCCTCGAATTTACAGCCTGACTTGCATCTTTCCACTCTGAAGATTCCTTTCTAGAACTCGATGTTTTTTCTGCGTCGGAGCAATAGTACAGTGGGGAGGGCATTTGCCTTGCACAAGTCTGACCCAGGTTTGATCCCCGGCATCCCACACGATCCCCTGAGTACCGCCAGGATTAAGTCCTGAGTGCGGAGCCAGAAGTAACCCCTGAGCATGGCTGGGTGTGACCCAAAAAGACAACAAACACACACACGTACAAATAGAACTCTATGTTTGATTGTGTTTTTTCAACCTTCAGAAGTCTTGAGATTCATGGATGGGCATGATGTGTTTTGTGTTTTGAAAAGAGATCTCAAAAGATTTGGGAGTTATTCCATTTAGGTGGAGTCCGTCCTGTTCATAATTAACAGAGAGACACAGGGAGAGAGAGAGAGAGGGAGCAAAAGGAAGAAGGAAGGCTAGAAATGAACTTCTTAGACCATCTCAGACCACCACAAGGACAGTGTGCAGAAGAAATCGCTAAGCAGCACTGGACACGGGAAGTCAGCCCAGGCTGGAGAACTGCTTTGGAAAGGGGGAATCTCTCCTAGGAAAAGTTTCCAAGCAAAGATGCATTTCTTTTAGACGGATAGCACAGCTCAAGTGGCAGAGAGAGGGCTGATTGTATTACCGGGTGGAGAGGTGCCCCTCTTCTCTGATTCAGGCCCCTAAATTGGCTAATGGTTGAATTTCCTTTATTCCTAAACATTAGCGTGAGTTTCCTAAGTCCTAGCTGCTAGGGAAAAAACACCCTTAAAATTTGTCTTTGTCAAAGGTGATTTTATTTCCTGCCAAGCTTTGGTGCTTTTCACAGGAACGTTGCCATCCACTATAACAAGGTAAGTCGAAGGTTAGACTTCTAATCTTATAAATCAGAACAATCAAATCAGCTTTTGAGCTGGACAGTCATGAAATTGAATTTCTCTCTCCCCCATTAGGATCCTCGGTTCAATGCAGAAGTTGACCAAATCACAGGCTACCGGACTCAAAGTATTCTCTGCATGCCAATTAAGAATCACAGGGACGAGGTAAGCCGGAGTTTGATTTAATACCAAAGTTCCTTGGAAATATTTTTGTTCTTTGAAAACTTTTATTTTACTTGCATATTTGTGAAGTGATACTGTAGCTACAAGTGCTAGAGTGTTCTGTTTGTTTTTTTTCATAGATTTCAGTTTATAGTGTTGGGTCCTGATAATTTACTTTGATGAAACAAATACCTTTAAGATAAAGTCTTTTCTTACAACCACCCCCAAGGACCGTATTCTGTCTTGACATATATTTGCTATTATGGTAATGATCCATTTATTTTATATTAAATTTTAAGTCTGAATAATTCCCATTTCGGAAATGGTTATCCCATTACAGTAGTCACCGGCCATTTTTTTAAATTAAAGATAATGTTCTGGAAAAAATAGAAAATGTGGCTAACTCAAGTAGATTTCATTATGAAACTGAAAAAACAAATACTAAAAATAAATAAAACAAGCAAATGATGGACTGGGGAGATAGTACAGAGGTGAAGGCACTTACCTTGCACACGGTCAACTTGTGTTCAAATTCTCACTGTTGTATAACGGTCCCCTGAGCACTGTCTTGGAGGATCACTCCTGAGTGCAGAGCCAGGAATAGCACCTGAGTACCACCAGGTATGGCCCAAACTCCACTCCAACCCCCAACCCCCAAATTATGAAAACGCATATGAAAATGTGGTGGCTTATTTTCTCCCAAGTTTGGATTCTAATAGCATTAAATTCCCTCTTTATTTTATGCTTATTTTTCAGAAATATTTAATCATTAACAAACTGAAGGTTTTGACTGAGTGTCCTCAGCCTCGGTTATTTGTTATAATCAGCGAGGTGACTTTTATTAAATCAGAAATTAAATTAAATCAGAATCCCGAATGAATAAGGTTATGATACTCATATTAATTGATTTTGAAGACCCTTGGTGATTCTAATATATCCTCGGGGTTAAAAATCACTAGTCTCAGTGAAAATGAATGGAAAAGATCCATTTAGTGGTTCTTAACCTTGGCTGCATATTAAAATTAGGAGAGTCTACAGAAATCCTAACAAATAGTTCTATCTTAAATTGGAATCGCTGGGTTTAGAACCCAGGGATTTTGGAGATGAGTGAGTACAGTGGGTAGGGTGTTTACTTTGCACGTGGTCGACCCAGGTTCGATCCCCACTTGGCCCCCCAAAACCTCCAGGAGTAATTCCTGAATTCAGAAACAGGAGTTACCCCTGAGCATCACTGTGTGTGGCCCCAAAACAAAACCAGAAAGAACCCAGGGACCTGTGACCTTTCAGAGCTTACAGGTGTAGTGCGTGCTGCTCTCAGGTTGAGGAATACAGCTTAGATTACCCAAACCCCCATTCCTGCTGCTGATAGATTAATATCCATGGTGTAGCATCTTTCCTTTCTTTCCCAAATCCCATAGATTTTTATCCCACTAGAATGTTTCTCATTCATTTCATTGCCAGCACCTACACTATAATTCAGATCTTGAAGAGATTCTGCTCTTTAAAAAAAAATAATAATACTCCTTTAAAATTTTAAAATTTTCCCTTCCACCTACACTGCCTGTGCCCTGGGAGTTTTCCTAGGACAGGACTTCGTCAGCAAGGGCTCCTAAAGCAATAGTATGTGAAAGGCGCTCAGGGAACATGTTCAGGTATGGATTCTGAGTGGACAATGGATGGTGCCCTGGTCTTGCGGGTTGCAATGAGATTGAACAGGATAGTCAGTGTGTCTCTTTTTAGCCTAAAGCGAGGAGTATCAGGGCCTTGGAGCTACCGTGTAGATTCTGAAGAGGGTGTTGACAACCACCGTTTCTAAAAATACCTGGAGTGAAACATGAGTATGAGTCTAGTTCATTCATTCTGGTAAGAATAAATACAATTGAAAAGACCAGTTGGGGGCTCATAATGATGGGCTTATGAATCAGGTTACCAGATATAGGCAAATAAAAGTATTGGGGACAGAGTCATTGGTGGTTGGTTTGTCTGAAATGACATTTAACCGGCCAGTTTATGTTTTATCTGGCAGCCCTGGTGACAACACAAGGACTTGGATTTGGTGCCCTCTAATTGCTCAACTTCAGGGAGTAGGATGTGATTTAAAGCTTCGGTTCCCAGAAAAATTAGCCTTGTCCTGGGCAAGAGACTTCCCTTTGTAGCATTCATCAATGAAACCTTTCTTTCTAGATTGTGGGGATTTGAGTTAGTCGGGACCATGTAGGAAAACATCCCTAACAGATATGTGTGCTTCTCCTCATACCATCCAGTGAGGAAGATTTATTTTTTGTTTTTGTTTTGTTTTGTTTTTGCCTTTTGGGTCATACCTGGTGATGTACAGGGGTTTCTGCACTCAGAAATTACTCCTGTGGTGCTCGGGGGACCATATGGGATGTTGGAACTTGAACCCGGGTTGGCCGCATGCAAGGCAAACTCCCTACCCACTGTACTCCAACCCCAGTGAGGAAGATTAAAGTTAAAGCAAATACTTAAACTTCCCTATGTATCCACATCGTGAAAAAAAAAAAGCCTGTCATTTAAGTTCATAATTTGTGTCTGACAAGAGTGTGTCACGGAACCATCGCCACAGTTGAGATTGAGAAACTTTCTGTCCCTCAGACCCTGACTTTTCTAGTGAGCCTGACCGTTGTCTGGGTTCTGTCACTGTTAGCCTTTCCTAGACTGTTGCAGAAATGGAATCCTACAGGCTCTTTTTGCGTGTGTCTGGCTTCTTTCACGTAGCTGAGTGCTTGTGAGATTTATCCTCATGTCAGTAGTGTGTCCCCTTTTTATTGCCGAGTAATTTATTTCCTGGTATGAATATACCACAGTTGGGTTGTCCATTTATTTGGGGATTGACCTGTGAGTTACTTACAGTTTTTGTCTTCTAGGATGAACATTGCTATTGCTGTTTGCATATAGGGCTTTGGGTGGACCTAAAGGTTTTCTTGGGTGTATATAGAGGAGGGGTTTGTGAGGTCATTTGGTAGACGGCTGCTTAATTTTGTAAGAAACTTCCAGACTCTTCTCCAAAGTGGCTATGCACATTCTTTCCAGCCATATATGAGAGTTCTAGTTGCTTTACATCATTTAAGTACACATATTAATGTCATTTACATTTTTTTAGCCTTTTTAGTGGAGATGATTTAAATTTGCTTGCATGACCCTCACACTCAGTCCCTCATAGAGTCGATTAAAGTGGTTCTGCTCTGCCACCCATGTGGGGGTTTGTCCACTGTTCTCCCAGAGATTCCTGAGCATCACTCGGCTGCCTCAGACTCCACATCTCACGCTGCTTCTGTGCTTCCCTGGTGGTGACTTGATCTCTTCTGAGAAAGCCTGGGCTCGTCTTCTTCCTTTCCCATGAAAGCCCACTCCCACAATGCATTTTGCTCTTCTGGAGCATCACGAGAGACTCAGCATCTTTATTGAAGGGAGGGTTTCCAAAGCACCATTTCTGGACCATCCACGGGACCCTCCATGCTCTGTTCCCGTCCCCTCTGCTCCTTCGCGGCCCACATTCTTATCCCCACTTTGATGGTTCCCTTGAGAGCTACTTGAGAGGAATAATGAGATAAAATGATCAGGGGAGATGCACTCAGCATGTCTCTAGTTGTAAAAATAGTCATTTGACCGATGGAATGCCAAGGCCCCTTAAGAAGAAGCCGTGTGTGACTTCCACAATCTTTTTCCAATATAGGCAAGTGAGCAGAGCCCAGGGCAGTTTGAAGGTTGGGTTTTTTTTTTCTTTTTGGTGAACACCCAAAAGTACTCGTCTCATAAAAAGTTTTTGAAATTAAGTGGAGCGTTAGAATCAAGCTTCGAAGGTCATTTGGAGAGGAATTATGAAGTTTATATCCCGTGGTACCACTTACTTGATGGGTAACCAGGATGGAATGCGTTAATCCCATTGATCTCGGTTTCCTCATCTGCAAAATGGAGTTACCAAGAGAGCTGGCTCCCGGGGCTGTGGAGATGAAATGCATCCAGGCATTTAAAAGGCTTAACTTAGTTCCTGGCACTCTGGCTGCAATCAGTGAATGGCAGCTGTTAATCTGTTTGTTTGTTTTTTTTTTGTTTCATTCTGTTTTTCAATGTAAGTAACATCACATTATATAACCTGTAAATCTCAGGTGCAGTATTATAAAAATTTACAACCAAGTTCAATTTCTTCCATTAGCCCCCTTTACCCAATTTTTCCACCCGTCTTCTCCTTTCCCTTCTGTTTATTACTAATTTAGTCTTTAGTCTAAAAGTGTTTTTTGTTCATTTGTCTTGTATATGATAATAGCCTCTAGGTAGCACTGTAGCACTGTCCTCCCATTGTTCATCAATTTGCTTAAGCAGGCCCAGTAACGTCTCCATTGTGAGACTTGTTACTGTGTTTGGCATATGGAATACGTCACGGGGAGCTTGCCAGGCTTTGCTGTGTGGGCGAGATATTCTTGGTAGCTTGCCGGGTTCTCTGAGAGGGGCGGAGGAATCGAACCCAGGTCGCCTGGGTCAGCCGCGTGCAAGGCAAACGCCCTAGCTGCTGTGCTATCACTCCAGCCCATTATAATATAATAATACCACATGATAATACCCACTAGGCCCATCCATGATATGACAATTGAGAGTGATACACTCTCTCTCTCTCTCTCTCTCTCTCTCTCTCCACAGTGGAATTCCTGTAGTGTGCCAATATATTACAGTACGATTTAGCTAATATATGTTGAATACAGTATTTATCTATTCACACAGAACACATTCTTTATGTAAACATGTCATGGATGCTTAAGTTGTTTCCAACTCTTGAGTATCTCGCATGATGCTATAGCAAACACGGAATTACAACGCTCCGTGAATTGAAGTTTTCGATTCTCCCAGTGAATACCCTAAGTGGGATAGATGATTTCTATTTTTAATTTTAAAATTGCATACATATGCATATATACTTGCTAGTTTGGGGGCTACACCTGGCAGTGCTTTGGGCTACTCCCAGGTCCGTGACAGGGTTGCTCCCGGCA